TCGTGAGCTTCCCTTGCACGTTTTATATATTTTTACCTCTTCCCTTAGCTTTATGGATGATTTCAGTATATTTCCATTTCCAGGTAGTTCTCTATATTGTTAACCCATTCCTTATATTCGCCACTTCAATGTTTATGTATTTAATTCCTGTAAGTTTCTTTTGCTTCCCCTTTAAAGCTTCCATCTCTCTCAATCAAATTAATGTATTGATTTTTTTTTTTTTTTGGTGGTTCTGGGGATTGAACTCAGGGCCTTGTGCATGTGCAAGCACTCTACCAACTGAGCTTCATTCATCCCCAGCCCAATCAAATTACATTTATTTTAAAATATTTTATAACTGATAATCTATCACAACCATTTGAGGGACTGACTCCTTTGTCCTGTTTTAGGTCTACTTTTTCTCTTTTGTAGTGGTGTGTTTCCTTATGTATTCTTTAAGTTTGGGTTAAGAGCTTAGAATCACTAGAAGCCTGGGATTTTCTCTTCAGTGTTGTGTAAACACTGAATTTTATTTTCTGTCTCCCATAAATAGGCCATTACAACCAAAGCTCTAGGTCACCATAGATTTTTTTTTTTTAAAGAGAGAGTGAGTGAGAGAGAGAGAGAGGGGGGGGGGAATTTTTTAACATTTATTTTTTAGTTTTTTGGCGGGCACAACATCTTTGTTTGTATGTGGTGCTGAGGATTGAACCCGGGTCCCATGCATGCCAGGCGAGCATGCTACCGCTTGAGCCACATCCCCAGCCCCCACCATAGATTCTTAAGGAGACTTGCTTCAACATCTACTGTCTTCTCTAAATTCATGATTTGTCACCAGTTTTGGCTTTGAAGGATTTCTCTTACATTTTTATAATATGTGCTATCCAATTAAAAATATTAGTTTTTCTCCATGGCTTTCAAGAGAATTGTTTTTAAGGATCTCTTGGAACTATTCCATTAACATGTGACTGAAAATGGATGTGCTTAGTGTCTAGTTTAGATCAGGAGGCTCTTGTAATAGAAGACACAGTTTTGTAGATAGGGCCACCAACCTACAGAATGAGCAGATAATTAGGTAGAGATTTATGACTGACTAACTGCTGAGCTATTGAGGGAGGAGGAGGGAGGGTAGAGTCATGGTGGGAACTGTGGACAAGACAATAGTAAATACAAAGAGATTTCATCTACTGGAGACACAGCATTGATGTATTAAATCATATTAAAGTAGATATCTACTATCCAAAGGAAGATACAGACTTCTAGGTATCAGAAATGGAGTAGGAAGTTCTATTTCTGAATGCAGAGCTGATATTTTAATGTATTTCTTGTAGTAAGACTGAAATATATAGTGGCATTTGGGATTTCGACTCCTTTTAGGTGTCTGAAAATCAGCCTACTGCCATGGTCAGAGGCTGAGGAGGCACTGACCACTATTTCAAGGGGCCTGCAGTGGATCAGGAGAGGCAGGTGGAAACTGAGAATGAGCAGCTGTGGGATTGCTTGGGTATAAGACCTGTAATTTTTCAGAGAGACAAGTTATAAGAGTTCCAAAGGTCTGATTCTGAGTTGTGGTCCTTGGTGAACTAGGAAGTGGAAACTGTGGATACTGAAGATGAATTCCCAGTCTGTTCCCACCAATGATGTCTACTAAGTTTATGAGGCAATCCAATGTGATTAAAAACAATGGGAGATTTTACTTGTAAGGAAATTGAATTAGCCAGGAATGGTGGTGCATGCCTACAATTCCAGTAACTCTGAGGCAGGAGGGTCACAAGTTCCAAGCCAGCCTCAACACCTTAGCGAGGCCCTAAGCAACTCAGTGAGACCCTGTCTCTAAATAAAATATAAAAAAAGGCTGGGGATGTGGCTCAGTGGTCGAGTGCCCCTGAGTTCAATCTCTAGTACAAACACAACAACAACAACAAAAGGAAATTGAATTAACTGAACTGTTAAGAGTTTAAAAATTTTCAAAACCTAACTATTGCAGCAATATCCATGAACATACCTAAATAGGACTTTCTGATACCCAGTGGGAGAAGTTTTAAAACAAGAAGTAGGTAAAAATCGAGGAAAACAAATAAAATCATTGAAACAAAAATTTTCCTACAGAAGCATAAACTAAAGATTGATAGGATAATGCCATTATGTATGTGATTGGATTTTCAACCTGGGGATTTGTGAGATATACTGAAATTACAGAGCCTAAGATTTTGTTAAATTCTATCAAGCCAAAGGGAAAGAGAGCATACCTCTAGACAACATTGCAGGAATGCTGTAGGACACGAAAGGCAAATAAACGTTTTTAAAAATACTAAAATGTGATCATCCTTTCCCCCTTTATTTTTCCCTAGCTTCTGCATATGAGAGAAAACATTTCATCTTTGACTTTCTGACTCTGGTTTATTTCACTTACATGATGTTCTCCAGTTCCATCCATTTGCCAGCAAATAACATAGTTTCATTCTTCTTTATGCCTGTACACACACACACACACAAAATGTGTATATATACACACCATATTTTCTCTCTCCACTCCTCTGTTGATGGGCACCTGGGCTGGTTCCATAACTTGGCTATTGTGACTTGCATTGCTATAAACACTGATGTGTCTATATCACTATAGTATGCTGATGTTAGTCTTTTGGATAAATATCAAGGGTAGTTGGGTCAAATGATGGTTGTGTTCCTGTTGAGACTCAAATCTCCATACTGCTTTACAGAGTGATTCTACTAATTTGTAGTCCCACTAACAATGTTTGAGTGTATTACTTCCTCTACATCCTTGCCGGTATTTATCATTTTTTAAAATTCTTGATGATTGCCATTCTAATTGGAGATGAAATCTCAATGTAGTTTTGATGTACATTTCCCTGATTTCTAGGGATGTTGAACATTTTGAACATTTTTTTTCATGTTTGTTAGTCATTTGTATTTCTTCTTTTCAGAAGTGTGTTTAGTTCTTTTGCCCACTTATTGATTGGTTATTTTGTGATTTTTTTTGGGGGGATTAAGCTTTTTGATTTCTTAATATATTCTAAGTATTATTTCCCTGTCAGAAGAGTAGTGATAAAGATTTTGTCATTCTGTAAGCTCTTTATTCATGCTCTTAATTTTTTCCTTTGGGACATGAGTGGAATGGAAGAAGGGAATTGAGAGAGAAGGAGGAGGGATGGGAAAAGGGAGGAACTGTGGAATGAAATTGATCATATTATGCTATGTACATATGTGAATATGTCATAGTGCATTCTATAATTATGTATTATCTATAAAGCAACTGATTAAAAAAGCTAAAAATAAATAGAAGGAAGACTAGTAGAGAGGAAGAGGAAAGGGGACAGAGGAGGGAAGGGAAAGTGGAAGTACTGGGTATTAAAATGGAACCAATTATATTCTATGCATGTATGAGTGTCAAAAATGAACCCCACTCTTATGTATAACTATAATGCAATAATAAAAACATTTAAAAATCAAGGAACACAAAAAGTAAAATAAGACAATTTAAAAATATACTACAATGAGTAGAAAAGTCACACATAAAAGGAATAACAACTTGATTGGCAGAATTTTTATCTTGCAACCACAAAAATGGCAATAGGCGAATATTGTTCAAGCAGTTATATAACATTTTATATTTAAGAATGAATATGTAATAATGGCATTTTTCTTATAAAATTTATTTTGCATTACAATTCTTAATACACCATTATACAATAATTTATCATATCTCTGATTATATATAAGGTATGTTGACACCAAATTCAAATGTTCATACATGAGTAATAATGGCCTTTTCAGGCATACAATACTAAGAGAGTTTATCATGCAAAACCATGTTCAAACTTATAGAACCAAGATAGTTTACCACACACAGGACATGGTGTTAATAACTATTAAAGGATATTCTTCAGCCAGATGAAAATTGAGGCTAGACTGAATGAGTAGAATGTTAAGAATAAAAAGGTAGGAAAGAATTGGTAATGTGGGGGTTGGAGTTGTAGCTCAGCAGTAGAACCCTTGGCTAGTCCATGGAGGCACTGGGTTCAATCCTCAGCATCACATAAAAAATAGGTGAATGAATAAAATAAACGTATTCTGTTCAGCCAGAACTAAAAATTAAAAATAATAATTAGTAAGGTGCTGTAGTGAATCTGAATAGTTACTGATGTTTTGAAATGAAATGACCCTTTGACTTCAGTTTTGTAATATTTTACTTTATAGAAATGAAGCAAACATGGTAGTAAATTAACATTTCAAAGGTTACAAGTTTTATTTACATTAGAAAAAAATCAGGGTACAATTTAAATGGCAGAAAACACTGTGGAATAGCAGTAAAGCAAACATTTCCATCAGTCTATTGGTTTAAATCACCAGATGAACATATTTAAAAAATATATTCCAATGCATGCTGACAACATCTGATAAAATTCAACATAAATCTTTACATTACGAAGTAAGATTGGAAGAGAATTTCTTCAACAGGTTAAGAGACTGCTGAGAACAAACACCATACAATCAGATGTAGCAACCATCACAGTATTTGGCAGTTCACTGGGGCAGCAGGTGGAAAAATGAAGAACTAGACATGCTATGGCTGAATGTCTTCATAAATCCATGGGAAAACACAGAAGGAAACTCACAGCATAAGAAATCCAGTGATTTCTTGGTTTGGGGGAAAAACAGGGGAGTGGTGATATGAGTTAAAAAGTGCATTTTGAGAGAAAACAACGTCTACAAAATGCAGGGAAATGGTGTGTGTGTGTTTAGAGAATGATCCTGTGAAGAATCCCCAAAATCTGAAAACACAGTTTTTGGTTTCCCTGAAGATTTTCCATTTCCAAGATGAAATGTGGAATCTGCCTTCTCTTCCTGATGTCCTTATTTCCTTACAATCGGGTACAGAAAAAAACAATTGTCAGCACAGAACTGCTGACTATTGAGGGGCTCTGGGGATGCAGCAGGCCCCCCAGGAGAGTGTCCAGGAGTTGGGTCCGGTGGTGGGGTGGGGAGAAGTTCCTTTCTTCCTAGAACAGACGTCTGCAGGCTTTGCTCCTAGGGCCTGGAGAGCGCTGTGGAGGCGCCTGGGGACTTGAACTTGGAGAGGGAGGTAGAGGTTGCAGCGGTGAGGTGGGGAAGGGCCTCATAAGGTGGAAATCCACGTCGTAGGCGGGATTAGAAGAGCGCCTCACTGGACTAGGGCTGGGGGCCCAAGCAGGGAGATATGGGATGGGCCCCTGCTGGCCGGCTGGAGGGTCCATCCATTGCTCCACGAACTCTTCCTCCAGGGCGTCTTCTTGGAAGGCCTCTATTTGTCTGATGCTCTCTGGGATAAATTCGCAGAAGAATCCCTGCTGGATGACCATGTTCTCACCGAGGGGTCTCAGGAAGGCGCCCAGTTCCTGGACTTCAGGACAGTCTCCCTGGCTTCCTGGGCGTTGGTCGGTGGCTCCCAGGAGGCCCTCAGGGATCAGAATGAGGTTGTGTCCTTGGAGATTCACTTGCAAGATCGAGGTTGGCTCAGGCTCTAGCACCAGGTCGACGTCGTCTAGGGGTACGTGTAAGGCGCAGCCCGTGGCCAGAACCACCATTGAGGTGAGCGCGGTGGCATTGGCTGCTCCATCGGAGTCTTGCAGGGTGGGTGCGGCCGGGGCCTCTGCGGGTTCTGCAGGGTCGTCTAGTCGGCGGCGCTTGGCAAGGCCAGGTCCTCCAGGCTGTGGTCCCCACCAGGACGCAGAGCAGGCACTGGGGCTGCGTGGACGAACGCCCACCATGTCGAGGGCGCTGTGGTGGATGCTCCGGTTTCGGGGCAAAGTGAGTGCGGGGCGCAGGCGACGCGGCGCTGCGCGCGGTGACAGTCAGGTCAGGAGGGTAGGTGAGGTGCGCTAAGCTTTCGCGTGGGCAGCAGTCCTAGCTTCTGTGGATCTGCGCCCCCAGCTGTGCTTGGCGTCCCACTTTGGAACCTTGCTTCTTTGCACTGACCCGGATGCGCCCTGGAGGGCCAATTATATTGCCTGCGCAACCCAAGTTCCAGTGTCACGCTTAGCTCCGCCCCTACGGAGCTCCGCCCCTAGATGGGAGGAGTCGGCTGGGTAATAGCTTTGGCTGTGGTGTGTCTCTGTGGGGAAATACCTGTCTGGGCCTTTGGGGGGCAGAATCACTGGTGTTTCTTGGGTGGAGGGATAAAAACAGGCATAGAATTTCAAGATGGCTAATGTTAGAATTCATGTTTTCCAGGATTCTGGGAAAACACTGAAAAAGACCCCTGCACCTAGTAATCCCCAACTGCTGACACACCCAAAGGCTACTTAAAGTCCCCCCCCCCCCCCCCCGCTTGTCTTTCTGGTGCTGGGGATTGAACTGAGGGACTTACACATGCTAAGCAAGCATTCTACCCCTGAGCTACATTCCCATTCTGAATTTATTATTATTTTTTTTTGAGGGGAAGGGGAGGTACTTTGATCTAGGGGGCATTGGATCACTGAGCCACATCCCCAGGTCTTTATGTATTTTATTTAGAGATAGGGTCTCTCTAGGTTGTTTAGAGCCTTACTGTTGCTGAGATTGACTTTGAACTCCTGATCCTCTTTCCTCAGCCTGCTGAGTTGCTGGGATTGCAGGCTTGCACCACCATGCCCGGCCTGAAATTCTTTTTAATGTTTGACAATCGTTTTATCTTAAGAATAAATGAAAAATGCAGATTTTTCTTTCAGGAAAAGTGCTTTTTAAATACTAAAATGAAAAGCTTTATGGCAGTTTGTTCCTGAACGTTAGGGCCTGTAATAAAATTGTTAATTGCATTATTAAAATTAAAGCAATACAATTAACTTTTTTTCTTTTTTATTGAGCACTTATATGTCCACCATTTTACTGTTTTAAAAAATTATTTTTCTAGGCATGGTGGTGCACGTCTGTAATCCAGGCGATTTGGCCGGTTGAAACCTGAAGATCCCAAGTTTAAAGCCAGCCTCAACGATTTAAAGAAATCCTAAGCAATTTAGAGAGAGCCTGTCTCAAAAAACAAAGGGCTGGAGAAGTGGCTCAGTGGTTAAATTGTTACCCCTGGGTTCAATCCCTGGTACTTCCTCACCGCGGTCTCGCCAAATATGATCTTTTTTTTCCTTACAACAGCTGAGGCTCTAAGTGGTAAAGCAAAATTTCCCAAAATTAAACACTTCATTTGTGTTGGTTGTAGAACCAAATGCAATCGTGGCTTTAAATCAAATATACTTAATTTATGTATTTATTGTATACACCTAACAAATGCTGATTTGGTACTGTGTGTGCCTTTCATATTAACATGTGTGTCTACCCTGTTTTATTTCCAATGTTTTTTTTTCTCCTTGCTTTACATTCCCGGGAGTCAATTGTGTTTCAATTTCACTACATTCTTGCAAACATTTATCTCTCATATGCCTGCCTGTCTGCTGGCCTGCCTGATTTTCTTCCATTCATCAGTGCATATAAAATGTACAGAATGGCAACTTTCACTGTGGCTTATTTGTATATACTCAAAACCATAATTGGATCAATTTCATTCCCCAGTGCTTCCCTCACTGTTCCTTCTTTTCTCCCCTGGTCCCTTCCCTCTACTCTCCTATCTCCCTTCTAATTTCATGGGGTCCTTTTTTTCCCTCCTAGCTTCCACACATGAGAAAAAACACAAGGTAATTTTCTCTCTGATTTTGACTTATTCACTCAAAAAAATTTTGGTCTCCAGTTTCATCCATTTTTCTGCAAGGGACATATTTGTTCTTCTTTACGTCTGAATAAAACTGCATTTTGTGTGTGTGTGCATATGTGTGTGTGTGTGTGTGTGTATATATATATATATATATATATATAATTTTCTTTCTCCATTTATCTGTTGACAGACACCTTGGGTGATTCCATAACTTGGCTAATGTGAATTGTGCTGCAATAAACATGGTATGCATGTTATCTGTAAAATGTGCTGTCTTTATTTTTTATTTTTTGATAAATACCCAAAAGTGGTATAGCCGGATCATATGGCAGATTTATTTTTAGCCTTTTGAAGAACCCCCATACTGATTTCCATAGTGGCTGTACTAATTTATATTTCCACCAACAGTATGTAAGAGTTTCTTACCCCGTCATCCCATCCTCACCAGCATTTATTGTTCGTATTCTTGATGGCTGCCCTTCTAACTGAAGCAAGACTGAATCTCAGTATAGGTTTTTTTTTTTGTTTGTTTTTGTACTGGGGATTGAACCCAGGGGTGTTTAACCACTGAGCACATCCCCAGATCCTTATTTGTATTCTATTTAGAGACAGGGTCTCACTGGGTTGCTAAGGGCCTCACTAAGTTGCTGAGCCTGGATTGGAACTCACAATCCTCCTGCCTTAGCCTCCCTAGCAGCTGGGATTACAGGCATGCACCACTGCTCAGTACAGTTTTGATGTGCATTTCCCTTTATTTATTTATTTTTATGTGGTGCAGAGGATCCAACCCACGGCCTTGCTGGTGCTAGGCAAGTGCTCTGCAGCTGAGCCACAACCTCAACCCTGATGTGCATTTCCCTGATCGCTAAAAATATTGAACATTTTTCATATAATTGTTGACCCTTTATACTTCTTTTGAGAAGTGTCTGTACAATTCATTTACCCATTTATCGGCTGGGTGACTTGCCTTGCAAACATTTCTTATTGCCGTATTCTTAAATGTTTTCCAACCTGGTATAGTAAAGTGCTACCCTGTGTTTTCATTTCGCATTTCTGATTACCTGTGAGGCCACATCATTTATTTTCATATAATTATTGGCAATTATTTTTTATATTTTCTATAAAATGTTCCTCTCTTCTATTTTTTTTCACTTTAAAAAATTGGATCTCAGAATACTACACACCAGTTACTTATTGGATGTCTAATCAAGTGTCTATGGCTCTCCTATAGTCTTTGATGACCTAATTACCTGATTCCCTATTATTCTTACAGTTCTACTTCTGGTATACTTTGTGGTTATTTGAATATTCTCATAGACTTTTCCCCGAAAGGTGACCTCTAAATCCTCTTTCCTTTTAACACTTTGTCCTCCGTCCTATAAGACTTATATGCTTGACCTTGCATTACTCCTAGTTGTGACCCCTGTATAATCACAATTTCAAACATTTTATTTTCAGAATGCCACATCTAACTTCCTAGTTCAGTCTTTCAAATATCCAAACTTGATCCGTTTCAGCCCTCCTGGGGGAAAAATCCATTTCTTCTATCATATTTTCACTGAAGCTGACACCCTCATGTTCACATTTCCCTCCTTTTCTGGAACTTAAATTCCATGGGCAACATGATAGTAACTGCCATGTTTATAACTTTGTATCCTTTCCCTTTGTCCTGCTTAGCAGGTCAAATCTATCTGCCTCTAATGTGTTTGGAGAAAAAAAAAAACACTCAACTCCATTGAATGATGTCTGTGTAAATGTGATGGATTCCGTTAGTGGATTCCTAATGCTGGCTAGTGATTTAACTGTATTGCTCAAGTCCAGTCACTTAACTTTCCTCGATGAATGTTGCCTACTTTCTCCTCTTTTCTCAAGACTCCTCTATTTCATCTCTCATGCTCACTCCTAGATGGTCCCCTTGTTTCCTTTACACAGAGTCAATGAAAGCAATCAGGAGATTTCCCCAAATTGCCATAATCACATCTACCTACCAAGATGCATGGGGAGTGTATATTCTGCCTTCTCTGCTTTTCCCTGCCAAATTATCCATGTTCTAGCCAGGGCTACTCCCTTCACCTGTGTAAACTATCTCATTGCGTCTTGCCTCCTTGAGAACCTCTCTTCAGCAATTCTTCCATCTCTGCCTTTCATTATCACATTTTAGCTTCCTCTTAAAATGCTAGCTATTGAATCAATATCATCGATGTATAATCGAGAGGTAAAGCATTTCTATTTTAAAACAAACACTCTTCACTAAACCCCTTCCAGGCCCTAAGCAACTTAGGGAGACCCTGCCTCAAATAAAAATATAAAAAGGGAAATTGGCTCAGTGGTTAAAAGTCTCTGGATTAAAAAAAAAAAGTGTGTGAGTAAACTTAGAACATACAGGCTCTAAATGAAGGCACGGGATGTGGATGACTAAATCCATTAATGTAAATATTCCTGCCATCTCTTTTGACTTCTCTGAGATCTTCTGATTCTTCATATATTCTCATTGAGATCATACTACACAAGTCTGAAGTTCTTGGCATATGTAGACAATTAAACTTATAGAAAAATAATAAACAAAACAAAAAAATAGAAGCATATGGCTAAAAGTGCACTGTTGATACTGCAATAATTATGAAACTGAATCTCAAAACATGTAGTGGTGTCTGAGATATTAACTTCTTTGAGGTGGGGCTGAAATTCTGCTCCCTGCCTTACAGTCACTGATCAATGCTAATTTTATTTTATATATTTTTTTGCTATTGGATTTTGGCATTTAACTACTAAGCCACATCCCCAGCGCTTTTTAAAATGTTTTATTCAGAGACAGGGTCTTGCCGAATTGCTTAGGGCCTCTCTGAATTGCTTCAAGCCTTGCTAAATTGCTGAGACTGGCTTTGAATTTGTGATCCTCCTGCCTCAGAGTCCTGGGTTACTGGTATTACAGGTGTGTGCCACCACACCCAGCTCAGTGCTGACCATTTTGTGCCAGTTGCCTTTAGAAGTTGTAGTTTGGTTTCATGAGTTGATTACTGCAGAGGTTGTTTGGTTTCTAGGGCTGAATGCTATGGTGGTTGTGAATCAGAGTTCTGGCATCATATGTGA